CAAGTAGTACTTTGATTATTAATAATATACTAATAGGGACATACTTAGGAAATAATATACTTAGAGATATACTTAGGAATAATATACATACTTATAGATAATAATATTAATCATATAGCATTCAGGAAAGTTTAATAGAGCAGACTTTCAAGTCTGCTTTAATAAATTAATTTTGATAAAATTCTTTTCTCATAATTATCTGTTCTTAAATAACATATCAGAATTCGTGACATACGAGTGACATACGATGATCGATCTATCCTTCAAATAATATCTTAATCATTAATCATATAATATACTTGGTCCAAATGTGGGATGATTAATTGTGTAGAGATCGGAAGAATTTGATGAAAATGAATAAGACTTTCAAGTAGGCTTTAATAAATTAATTTTATTAAATGTCTTTTCTTAAATTTGACAAATATATGTTTTTGATAAATATGGCTATCTATTTGATAAATATGACATAATCCGCGAAATCTCTGAAAATTTTTTGTTTTTTTCAACGATATATCCATTGGAATATGACCTTGTTGGAAAAATTAGCTGCAACGAATATAAATAAATCGCGTACTAAAAGTGTCCGCATAATCTAACTGTGCGAGTAAAATATTCGAGCTATTGGAAAGGCAGGAAAACCAGTTTGGGCGACGCGCATATGTGTTCGAAAGATGCAGAATATAAGCCTACACACGCTGTTATTAATTAGTCTAACGGGTTTTAAGTTTCGTTGCAACGTCCGCGAACATTGCACCAAATAGGAAGCACGAAATTTTCGATGTGTATTTAAGAGTAGCCACAGAATTACGCAATACTAACATATGATTCTATCGCTTCTGGACTGCATATTGAACAAGAAAGTCCGAATACCGTTCCACGTGAGCGGCTCTGTAAGTATGTAAATACATGTCTAACGTTGTAAATGGTAAAGAGTAAAATATAGTCTTGGCATTTTCACACACACACACACACACACACACACACACACACACACACACAAATAATTCCACTTTTTGCATTTTCTAAAAAGTAAACTACTACGTCTCATTAAGTGTGATCGATATAATCTAAGCGACCTAAAAAATGATAAAGTATCTGTGAGAGTTACATGTAAATTTCCTTGTAACGCGCACACACACGCACATACATGTACTTAATCGCTAATTGAAGAAATCGCTAAAATTCTAGACCCCGGGGAGGCCTCGGAGACGACGCGCCCGGTACGTTCCGTCCTCTCCGGCCGGTAGCCACGCCTTCGTTCGCGCCACATGTGAAACCGGTGAACGAGGAACCCGAGGAGGAGGAAGAGAATCTGTCGCGCGAGGATGAGAACTCGCCTGACCAGAGTCAGGAGATCAGGAGCCAGGATAGTGTGGAGGATCTAAGTGAGGAGATACCGCGAGCGGCGCCAAATCCACCAAGGGCACCTCCAGCGGCCTCAGGACAGCTGGCGTATCGTCCACCCCAAGTGGCACCGACGAGTGTCAGGGTGAGTCCCACGACACCTCCGCCGCTATCGCCCGTTCAATACCGTCCGACATCTCCGCCACCGCCGCCCATCCAATATCGCCCGACGCAGAAGCCCACGAAGGCCCCGAGGAAACAGATCATCGACGACATTACGTTCCAGCAACCAATCAAGCCGCCACCCAAACCGGTGAAACCGTCTCAGGCTTACGAAATTCGCGGCAAGAAGCCAGTAGCTCAGGTAGGCCCACTATAGAACTTCTCCCCCGAAACCGCGAATAAATTCTTGTGGGCTTTCCACAATAAGCTATTACCTAAGCTTAAAGTCTTAAGTCATAAAAAATTGACCAATCATAGTCGATTATTCTCACTACGTTTCGACAAGAGACAACGGACTGAAAAGAATATTACTTTAACTAAAATAAGTTCTTATCTCATAACGAAATAATTTGAACACAAATGCATGAAGAAGACCATATTCAGTAAAAGCTGGTCAATAATGATTAATAAAATAAATAAGACTAGCCTTGATCAAATATGACATTCTTCATGTATTTGTGTTTGAACATTCCTCGATCAATTTCCACTTAATATTGGGTACTTTCCATTTGATGACACACGTCGATACAAGCGTTGTTCTATCTTGTTGACATTCAGAGAGTGTCATAGATAGAACGACACTTGTGTCGACTTGTGTCATCAAATGGAAAGCAGCCATTGTAAATAATTTTATATAGACAGGAATAAAATATGAATCGCGAATCACGCAATCGAGAGATCAATATATAATCTAAGAGTTTAAAAAATTGATAGTTTTGAAATTGAAAGGTGAAAGCCGGAATCATTTGACCGCCATGCTCTTTTTTGTTTGTTTTGAGATAACGTCGTACAACTCATAAACGCGATCAGATAAAACCTGTTCGTGCCCCGTTACGCAACGGTCTCTAGTCGAATTTGTGAAATGACATGCCCGGTATGTTTTATGTGCTTATTATAAACGAGTTTTAAAATCACTTCGAACAATCAGAATTCCGAGTAAAATTCTATTTTATACGCTATATACGAAATATAAAGAATCAATGGAATGTTTGTAAATAATAAAATATATGTTAAAATACATACATTAAAATATTGAAATTATAAATAAGATTGTAATCTGAAATCCGATGCAAACTACAGATCTTCTAAAATAGGCTTTAATGGTTTGTAATGCGTCATATATGTAGACATCAGTAAAGAAAAATCTATAAACAGGATTCTCCCTTGAAAAAGATTTTTCAATGTCCGACATAACGAATAATATTTTGTAGATTATTAGGCGATACCGGCACGACAACGCAGACGGTTCCATCACGTGGGGTTTCGAAAACGATGATGGATCGTACAAAGAGGAGACGATCGGCGTGGATTGCATAACGAGCGGTAAGTACGGATATATCGATCCGGACGGTATCCGACGCGAGTACACGTACGAGATGGGAATCAAGTGCGACGAGCAAGACCGAGAAGAGGAGGAAGACGGCTTCGTGGATTATCAAGAAAACAAGCTGGTACTCCCGGACGGGAAAACTATCGATCTCTCATCGATGGGTAAGAAGCAGGCGCGCCGGCCTCAATTCCAATACAGAAATTAAAGGAATCGGGACTCGCATTTCGTACATACGCCATCACCTGTCGCATTTAACGCGTAATCGTAATTCATAACGTAAATAAATCATGTGTTTCTTAGGATAAACAACTAGAGTTAAATAAATAAATTAAGATATCGAGATATTAGCGATACAAATCACGCATAATTCCATGTAAGATTATTTAGTGTAAATTAGACTTGATAAATAAAATAAAAAATTTTGTGAGATATTATAATAACATTATAAATCTTATCTCCAAAAGTTACATTGAACTCGAGATAATTCTCTATAATATAGTTCATTAAGCGATAAGAAAATCGTTTAATCTAAATCAATATTGATCGTCAATATTGATCATACAATATTCATTACGATACATAAGTGACAGAATTATGTAAGTGAAACGATTTAAAATCGTGAGGTAACCCTATACTTAACGGAAATAAAAAAATAATTCACAAATATCTAATTCGCGTAATCTTATTTGTTCGTAAAATATTAACTTGATAAAATTTATTCGTCCCACACTGATTGAAAAGGGCTCGAGAGCGAACCGATTTCCGTATCCAGGAAACAACAATCAATGTTTTATTTCGTTGAATACATTTTTCGACGTTGAAACTTTATTTCGTCGATTATTATTATATATAATAATATCCACGTCAGATTTCTAACTAGACATTGATACAAGAGTATACCGTGTTGTGTACATATCGATGTTGTACCTGTATAGGTTCGAGCTTGAATAAAGGTAACAAAACTAATAAATATATACAGTTTACGCGAGTTGCAACAAAGAGTATATTACTCTTCGATATATTGTAACAAATTATTCATAATATAGAGAAAATCTCGTGAGCGTCAGATCTGCAAGATTATGCGTACCGAGTAACGCGATATGATGATTCGATATGACGAATGCGGCAGATATGTTCGTCGCGAGCCAAGTAACGTATTATTTGTGTGTGTACATGTGATCACGCTACATTATTTGCTTGCGTCCCTCTGTACAATTTGCGCAGTCGTAGCCTGCACTCTTGATCCCTCTATGTGATAGGGCTTACAAAGCGAAATACCGAACAATCTAAGAAATCTAAATGACAGTCTACGAAGACTACATACGACGATAAAGGGGAAAAACTCTCAGTGTCTTAATTTTTTAAATTTTCTGTCCTTGCTAGCAAACGGCCGAAAATACTACTCTTGGATTATCATTTTACACAAAAATAACGCTCTCCATTAAGTTCATTCACCTGGAATATTCAATCATTTCTCTTGAATTTAAATTCTTTAGATAGAGAATTTTTTAAATATATAAATACTTGGTAGAATAAATACTTGACAGAAATTAACAAAAATTCAAAGCATCTCGTTATCAAAAACATAGAAAACAATCACTGACGATAAAATTGACCAGTCCGATTGTGAACAAGAACCCAGAGGATTAAAATAGATCTAGCATTCGCAACGGCACTCGATATCGCGCTAAAATCCGCCTGAGCATCGTCGTTTTCCACCACCACGATGCTTAAGCGTCGCCTTGGTTCCAACAATAATTTAAGATACGGATTCAACAACAATTTTACAGACTTTGTGTTATGCGTATATAAATATATACATGTACACATACATCACCGCATAAATAACAGTCGATCGAAAGCAAAGACGCGACAAACATTATTACAAAATATTAACAATCGTTGTTCGGATAACGCACGCACGCGGCCACGTCGCCTTCTTCTTCTCATTAGAATATAAGTTAATACTACGGCGTAGTGTAGATTATTGCCTCGTTACAGAGTACAAAAAAAAAAGAGACGAAAGGAAAGTCGAATATATGTGCGCGGGCGTGGACAAACGAGCGTATATACGCACGAGCACGCGCTACGCACACGCATCGTGCGTGCCATTGACGTTCCGTGTGAGAGGAACGTGCGAGAGAAACGCGCCGGAATTACAAAAAGGACTGGCCCCGCACAAAGGTAACGATATGTGTCGATCGATCGATCGTTCCAGTCGATCAATCGATGTGGTCCATCCTACCATGGGCCCTTTTCTCTCCTGGGCGTCTAATACGCCGGACTGGTGACAGTGGACACTTGTTTCGGTGTGTGCTGGCCCTGCGCCAACACCCCGCTCTTTGCCGCCTTAAACTTCAGCCAAGCGTCGTAACCGTATGCCACCATTGCGCAAAATCCGAAGAACTGTAAATAAATTTCAGTATTAAACATTAGAAGACTACATTCGTTTGCTGACTATTTTGAGAAGAATAAAAAAAGTTTTAAAAACAGCAAAAAATATTTTAAACGATAAAGGTTTATATTTTTAAAAATTCCTTATTTTACGACTTATGTTCTTTCTATGAGAGAATTAGAATGTCTTCGTCGACATTTTTTTGACACTTGCGCTAACTAAGGCATAACAATGCTATTCAAAAGACGTACAAAAGAATTCTTACCGCAGCAACACCGAAAGCCTCTGTGTAACGCGCGAAGTCAGCTGCCAGGGAAGCGGCCAGCAAATAAAAAACGGTCCATATCGTGCAGAATATAAATTCCTGAAATTACATGCATCAAGTTGTAGCATACAGATGAACATCTTCAATCGATGGCGATAAAAACTGAGTTTATGCGCAGCCGAATTTGTAAAACGCGTAATCTGTAGATCAAGATATTACACGACATTACAACGCCTATGTAATACCATGTAATCTCGGCATTCTTAAAAGGTCTGATTATAAACGATCTTTGACCCAGCATAGACGACAACCGTTCTAGTTATGTTACTCGTGATCGATCGTTCACCCGTGAGTATAAAAATCAGAGCAACGGATTAATTTTTACATTCTTAAGCGCGTATAAACTTTCTAGTGGGCTTTCACTCCCTGCTCTTATTACACGTGTGTATCCACGTTATACCGGTATTATCAAATACGACCTGTTCTCTATACTACTCCCTCGCTCCCTCTTATTTGCGTTTATTTTAAACGCGCTTTTGCACAAACAAAATAAAGGATCTTACAGTCAAGAGGTAGTCGATTAGCAACACGATGCGAAGTACGATCAGTGACTTACAATTTTAAGCCAAGGGATCCTGGCGAATTTCTCCACAATGTGGAACAGGTAGAGAACGAGGAGAATGCCCGTGAACCAGAAGCCGCCCATGGCCACGGTATTGAACCATCCTCCTCGGCTGTGACTGCTGTGTACCGACACCGTTATGCATATAAATCCTAAGAGATTTAATACCTGAAAGAAGACCCCAGCGCGCGATTATCATTCTTGAAAATTCTTCGTCGCGCAGCTGAGCAAGCACGTATTGTGCACAAATACAAAGCGCTTCGCGGGGCTCTTATAGCCGTCGTGAGAAATTTAAAAATCCATTGTAGTCCGTGACGCAATCGGCCTTATACCGGCCGCTGTAATTCACGGTAGACGTGCATTTGGTACACAATGTTCATGCTGTACATTTAACGAGCCAAGTGTGCTCCCCTTTAATTTTCTAGTTCTTGATCATTTTTCGACTAATTAGTAATATTTTTACCTGTAAGCATTTTTTTCTATAAATTCAGAGACTCAAATATAAGAAGTTTATATCGTACAATTTAGTATCTTTCACGTTGAACTTTAATTAATTAATTTATAATTCGAAATCTCTTAATAACGGTACTGAGACTTGTCGAGCAACTCACTTACAAGTGACTATTAAATCAAATACTAAAAGCACTTCTCGTGAGTTGCTTGACAAAATTACTGTAAAATTATACAAGCGAAGGATGAATGTATGTCGTACTCACCACTTGCACGATTTTTAGTATGCCGGGCAATGTCCTCGCATATGACGGATCGAACCGTATATTGGGCTGAGTCGTCGTGGTAGTGGTCGTCACGGTGGTCGTGGTGGTGTGCTGCCCTGGGAAACCTTGATCCATCGTCTCCAGTTACTCTAAAACTGTAACGCAACGAAAACAACATGTAGTAAGCAATGGATATCTCTACCTGCTTCGCGAGTCGCCGCCATCTGATCTGATACGTATAAGTACGACGGCGATTCTTTGTAAGGGTGCGTCTCAAGTGAAATAAATGAACGACCGAGCATCGACCGAGCTGCGCGAATGCGGGGATGAGGAAAAGATGGACCTTAAAATAAAGATCCGGTGGCGTTTGTCAAACGCGAAGCGTGTTGAAGGAAATTTGCGGTCACCGAGCGAATGCTTGAAAAGCGCTCTTCTTCTCGAGCCTTCTGCTTTCCAAAGATTTCATCTTGAGAATTAGATAAATCTAGTGTAAATAAACGTATCGCAATACTATCGATCTTTAATTAAAAATATTTTATATCGGGAAGAATAAAGACTGCAAGTGAGTGGTATTTCTATCAATGTAAATTTAATTTTAATCTTGGTTTAACTTACTCTTCATCTTTTCCTAGTTCTAAAAATTAGAAAGCAAGTTGAACAGAGATTAATCCTTCGTCTGCAACCTTTTTTATACCAGTCCAAGTTTTTTTATTATTCTAAAATTTCAGAAAATGTAAAAAAATGTATTCAGGGTTACTTTTCAACATCTCTATTACATTATTAAATAAATTTTTTGTTGGTTATTTTAGGAAGGAATACTGACTTCCGCCCTTCTCTAAAGAGATAAATCTCTAAAGAAATAAATTTCAGAGAAATTTGGGAGTGAAATTTCGCTTGTGTAAAAAAAAACCTAGATTGTAGACGGAGGATTAATTTATAACATTGGAGAAAACAGGTATTAGACCGGCCACTTGAGATGCAAAACTATTTTTGCAGAAAAAAAACATTCGAGGGACGTGTTTATGTAACTTCTGCATCGGAGATGCTCTCGTGCGAATGTCGGAGAAAATAGCACACGCTTTGATATTTACTATCCAGCGCTATCGATTATGCCCAAACAGCTTGCTGTCTGTTTATAATTAAACGCACGAATTGCGGTACAACGCCGTATCTCACGAATATGCCTTCGTGTATTTGCATCTAGTCGATTGATGACTTCCTTTGCTAGGAACTATTATTCGTCGTCTACTCCTGACAACGACAAACCGACACAATCGGCTATTTCGCCGTAAACATCATATTAACTATACATACCGTCAAATATTAAACTTTATTAAATTCTTACAAATAACTATATATGTAGCTTATAAATAACAGATAGTTAGATAATAAAATTCTCTGACTGCAATAATAAAAAAACAGATACATGAGATAATAAAATTTTACATAATATTTTATCTTTTAAAATAATCTTTTGTGATATCGATACACTTCATACATCTTTCATACAAAACTTTAAAACATTTTTTAAAGTTCGCAGTTAAAATGCTACTTACAGCAGTTGTTATATTTCTCTAATGATCCTCAACACTTTGAAAATGTTTATCTTTCATGATATTTTTAAGCTTTGAGAACAACAAGTTAAAAACAATAATTCCCTTGTGCACAGGGACGTTATCATGCAACTTAATTGATCAAGAAAGAGGTTATTAAGATTAGCTGTTCTGTCAACCGGATTTGGTTTTTTCGGCTTTCATATTGTTCCCAAAGCTCAAAAACATGGAAGATGAACACTGAGAATATTCTAAGAAATGTGATAAGTGTTCTGCTTATTACGGTTCTCAGATTGGGTGAAAATGACGGAAGTGAGCAACTCACCCAATTATATTTAATCTCACATCGTGAAAATACGAAGTTACTCGCGTGAATAGGCTCGGCACGAAATTTATAAGTGAAAAGGTGAGATGAAAATAAGAGTAACGAAGAAAGAAGACTTTTTTGCGCACACAGTGGATAATTTAATAATCGAAATGTTAATGCGACGTCGAGAAAACGTAATGCTTAGAATACGAAGAAGATTAAGGGATACCTCAGATCCATTTGGTATACCAGAAAGTGAATTCCGCAGTCTTTACAGGTATATGTGATTTTGTATACTTTTAGAAGTTACATTTTTTGAAAAGTTAACATTTACAATGAAAAGTAAAAATCGAATAAAGTGAGTATATTGTAAACTTATTTATAATTTTTCAAAGATAAATTATAATAATAGACACTAAGCATAAACGAGATTTTTCATTGATTGATCAATCGTATTATGCATAAATGCAGCTTTTTACAAAAGAATTATTTTTTAGCATAATGCGATTGATCAAACGATGAATTAAAAAACTTGACTTATAATTACTTCTAGCACTTTTAACCTCACTTTGTGTACAAACCTATGACTATCGATTTCAAAATGTGAGATTACTATACCGGAAATACCTAGTTATTTCACATTTTCACTTAAAAGTTCCGTAATTAGATGACTAAAGTCACGTGAAATGAAAATGCGAAAAGTGATTAAATTCATGGAGAAACCGTAATAGACTCCCTGAATAGCATTCCAACTACAGACTTTAACAAATATTTTGAAGCTTTGTATCAAAGAAAGAAAATATATGAAGTATATGTCACGGAGAACTACTTTGAAAGAAATAAAATATAACTATTTATTATCTGAGATGTGTGTTTTTTTATTGCTGCAGTCTGGAAACTTTATTGTCAGACCGTGTATACTATCTCATACATTCTTTACTATATATGTATATAATATTATTTTATTTTCTCAGAACTTTCTCAGAAACCAAACGATTGATCACACTTTTATAAAGTTCTCAATTTTATTTATGCAATTTTAAACTTTTTCTTATTTTCTTTATATTTCTAATTATAAAATAATTTTTTTAAATCGAATTTTCATATGTTATTTTTTTAACAATATCAGAGAACATTTATTTATATCTTTATATCTTCAATTTTTACTAAATCTTATTTTATTGACCTGTTTATCTTTCGAAATGCTCGTATTATAAATAATGCTATTATATAATAAAATGAGACATAAATCGCAGACATCTGAAAGTTTCAGTAATACGTCAAAGCATCAATCAACTCGATGCATACACGAAGGACACACGCATACTCCACCTGAACATGTGATTCTTCCTCATTTCCCGCGCACTTAACGCTCAATTAATGTCCTCCGTGAGATCATGCGCGGGAAAGAGAGACAAGGGGGACGCGCTAGTCGCCGGAGATATGCACCGCAATCAACGTCGAGAGACGGGGAAAATGAAAACGCCATCGCGGATCGATTACGAGAGCTATCATGCAGGCGTAAAAGGCGTAAACTCGTTTACGTCGACGATAACGATGCGAATGATCGACGCGTCTGGTGATTCCGAAGTCCTATCGCGACGTCATCACGTCGCCGAAATTATTTTCCAAAAATCGTTCAACGGGATGTCCTAGAGCGATTATTCTACAAATCTATTTTCTGTGGCTAAAGTAGTGTACCTATACTTTGTAATTTAAGTATAGTGAGATAAGTATACACTGTTCAATTTATAATTATAATTTTACACCTAATTTTTGAGTTATTTTTAATTCATTTCTGTAAGTCTCGCTACTGTTTCCATATATTGTTAAATTAACTAAAAAAAAACAATGAAATTAAATAATTTAAATCAAGAAAATATATTAAATTTGACTCAAATTTAGTTTATTACTTACTAGGTGCACACGTTAATATGAATGGGTTACTTTGATACTAACTACAGAAATGGATTGAGATTTTGACACATATGAAAGTAAAAATATCAAAATGTTATTTAATTCAAGGAATCGAGTTGCCATTGTTCCTTTAATATCTAACAGTGTACGTTTGACATTTAACAAAAGCGAGAAAGAGAATTCTATAGTGCAATCTAGAGCAGAAATAAAACAGATCTTTTGAGGTAAAAAATAGAGCTTTTCTTAAACGAAAAGCAATATTTGTGAGTGAACTGTGAAAGCGTGCCGTCCGCCTGAGAGATCGCAAGCCTCTCGAAGATGCTCTTGGGATTCGGGTTACAGACCGCGGCATCCCCCGTTTATCATGTTTATTATATCACTCGAGACGCGTGCCGCGGGAATTACTTAATCTCGCAGCGTGAGGTCATCTCGCCTGGAAATAGACGGTGACAGTTCGCGGCGAGCGACAGCGTGAGGTGCGGCCGTGCACGTGGTCGTTAAGTCCTCCCACGATGCGGGTCGAAAAGAGATGGGGCGAAAACGCTTATAAATTCATGCAACGCGGCAAGCATCGCGCGTTTTATCGAGCATGCAACGCTAATCCTTAAAATCCCCGGAACTTACCGTTAATATGTAATTACATAATAAATATTAAAGCATCACACATTAATGTCCTACATGTATATTATTACATCATTATAATAAAGAAATAATTATCTAATAACTTGGCGTACATGCTGAATTAATTCAGAGACAAGAATTTAGTTAATAATTTATAGTCAATAAAATATTAACGCATCTCATTATCTTATAATAACTAAGTATTATATATAATAAAAAAATTATTTTTTAATAACTTGACATGCATACAGAATTAATTCGGAAACAAGAATTTAGTTACATTGAATATTATCTCAATATTATATTAACAGGAGATTTATGTTATCATTAGACTGTGGAAGTTTATGCAAAATACTTAACTGAATGTTTTGCATAAAATGCATATTTTGCAATTTTGTAAATTTACAGATGGCAATCTCAATCTTATAAAGTTCCGCAGTCTAGTTATCATAAACTTTAAAAAGTTAAATTTGTTCCAAATTATCGCCGTTCTTTTAGCATGTAACGCAATTATCATTTTAAATCTTTCAAGAAAAAATTCACTTCTTGTCTGGTATTGTATTATTAATGACGGATAATGCATTTATGAATTCCATATTTCATACTTCATCGATGAATTCCATTATATTATTATTCACACGTCACAAGCGTGTCACAAACGCAATTCTTTTTGCCATCATCAGAATAAAATTATAGTGCCATATCGACGAACTAACTTAATGACAGAAACGACGATCGATTAAACCAATAGGAAAGTTTTGCTTATGGCGAAACTTTTAACTATATAATTCGTTCTACCTACGAATTAATCTTCTTTAACCGGATTTCTTTATAGCTTGTGAAAAAATTTATCCAACAAATAAAAAATTGATTAAATCACTGATGTGCAATTTTTTAAGGTCAATTCCAGAGGCCTATTTTTAGAAATGAAATTTTTCGGATCATCTAATGTTTATTTCATTTACACAAAAGAATACAAAATATAATTTTATATTTTATTTGTGGCTATAAGTTGGCGGATTGCAAAAAAGGACTTATGATGTATCAAAAGTGTAAAACTTGTGCTCACACAGAACACCTTTAATACACCATAACTAAAAAACTATCTATTATTATTTAAGTCATGTGTATGCTGAAAAAAATTACTGAATTTATATGTAGAACTTTTTTTTTATTCACCACATTATAATATATATGTAAAAACCAATAAATTTCACCGAAATCCAATTTCTCATATAATTAATACTAGCTATCCTTTACAAGTGAGCCACATGTGCGGCCCACAGATTGCGTATCTTACTGAATTAAATTATCGGGAGGTATATTAAAAAAATTTAAATACACTTCCAAGTAACACACGGCTTTATGAAAGATTGATTGACGATTAAGTTAAGCGAGGTTAATTAAGTTTGATCGAAGGCACTCTAGATGAGAACCGCGGATCTTAAAGGCCCGAAACCATGTCTTGTTTCGCAGCTGAAGAAGATATCGGTGAATATCGTGGAGATGGAACTCATGCGCAAACACGTGTGGGCGAAGAACTAATATTATTGTCGCAAGGAAATACGGAATACTAATCTAAACGATCCACTCGGATGGAGACGTCAAAGTTCGACGAACGCGACGCCATATCGGATGCCCCATCCTAAAGATCGATCGATTTTCAAAAATCTGCTCTTTCTCGTTTTCATAAAACTCGACTCGATAATTAAACTGTCAGAACTTTTCCGGAATTGTACTTAATTTAGGCAATTTATTAGAATGACACTTCTTATGATTTTTTAATAGGTAGGACATTCATAATCTGATTTTTTACATTTAAATATTAACGATCTGGAATTTATTTAGGCAGTCGTTCCGTTAATTGAATGAAATTTCTCAGGATCATTTAAAAAACCAGACTTAACATAACTGTAAATTTAATAATAAAATATTAATCAACTTTATCAATAATTTTATTGAAATGCAAATAATACGAAATGTTTTATATGAAGTAAAAATATTGTGCAGAGAGCTGAGCTTCAAAAAGTAAGATAATAATATTGCTTATTTTTATTTGCCTAGATTTTTATTTGAGATAAAAATATGCCGCCTTCGAAAAGGAAGGCTTCAAGAATCGCCGCACGATTAATTAATGATTAAATACAGATATTACTTTCTATTTGATTACACAAATCGATATAGATATCGTTCTATCTTTGTTATTTACTGGAATTAAGAAAGGTAGAATGTCTATATGTCGACTCGTATCTTTAAATAGAAAGCTCTCACATTATCTCGAATTAATCTAACATTATTTCAAGAATCATTAAATTCATAATGTCAAATTATACTTGAAAAAAATGTATACACTTTTAGTACATACGATAATTTCTTGACCGATAATTTACGATAATTCACGATAATTAGACTACACACAATGGATTATCCGTGTCTTAAGATAATTTTCATCACCTTAACAAATATACAAAAAATTATTAAGTGATTCTTACACTTTAACATCTTTAGAAAGTATTTATGAGAGGTTGTGTATTTAAAACAATTATATATATATATATATAAATGTTATAACTAATTACTTGATGCTCCTCCTAGTTTTTCGAAGAAAAAAATTGTACAGGACACGAATGACGCAATCGTGTGTTTGACTAAGAATTAAATTTGACTCAAACAAAAAATTTAGTTTATCATTTACTTGTAAGTGCATACGTTAATAAGGACGATATTTATCTTGACACTAAGCACAGAAATGGATTAATTTAACTTATAGCGTATTTCACTGGCAGAGCTGGTGCGCACTCAGTGCACTTTAAAGCTGTTGTACAC